TGTAACCGTTTTTCATCTTTGCTTTGCCTCGCGCGCCTTTTCTCTTTCTTGATCGTTTGGATCTTGGTTCCGTGTTGCGCTATCCTTCGCACTCTTCTTCTTCCCGCTTTAATCCTTGCGTCGGAATACTCTGTCGACTTCCTCCTCCTCCCCTCTAGCCAGGGAGATGCACCGTGTAAGAAGGAAATTCCTGATACACGACGATTCCGATTGGCTACAACTAGGATCCAAAGGATCGACATGGCTTCCGTCGGGCGATTATCCCTAAACCTTCCCCTACCCCTCCCTACCTTTGTCCTAATCCTTCCTAGCATCTACCTCCGTTTCCGCAACTATAAATTTCGCAAGTGCTCCCGAAAATCTCTCTCTCAAATCATCAGCCATCTTCCAGGAAGCAGTGGCTAGGTGGTACGTGTGAAGGTGCGAGACGAAAAGTCCTGACGAGTTGACTGTAGTCTTGACGGCTGTGCGCTGGATCGCCCAATGAATTGTGCGATCCAGGCAAGACCGTGCAGAGACTAAGTCGGCGGGGTGAGGATCGCTATGGTGGGAGTAGCACGTGACGGTCGGGATCGACGGTGCCGGTGTGAGGTTCGGGCAAAAGGTTGAGTGGATGAATGGTCTGGGGCCACGATGGAATTTTATGCTGGATCTCAAAGTATAAGTCATCGAGCGTGAGTTTCGTTCACCTGACATTTGAGTCGGAATCTTTCGACAAGGGCATCAGACTTTTTCATGTGTAATTATCTTCTGTCTTCTTCTCTCTTCTGATCCATGTCTCGCTTCCCTCGCACCTCCTTGCTATTATATTTCTGCTACAATGGATGGATATTGATGATCTCTATTCTCCTACTTTAACACGTGTATGTTGTGGGTTGCGCCTGAAGACTTGTGTGAGCATGTTGATAGATCTGACAAAATGCGGGATTGGATTGATCGAATGAAAGATGCATGATTATGGAGAATCTAGTGCCTTGCCCTTTTGCCATGTGGACCGATCACCCCAATCCGACGGGGCACCGACTTCCCGTACCTTCGCCACGCCCCTTCCCGTACAACGAGGAAAGGACATGTGTATGCGAGTGGGACGTACGAGAAGCCGCCGCCAAGATTGGTGGGCGTTATTACTTTCCGCCTGAGACCCGGTGCTCAGGATTCGTTGGTGCGGGATACTCATTTTCCACCTTATTCGTTGTTGTTGCCGTTTAATGAGTTGATCGTCATCCCGTGGGCGGCAGTGGCACCTTATTGGCCTAACACTTTGTGTAGCGACTGTCATCTTACCGAACGTTACCAAGCCAAAGGTTTCCATTACCGCACACGTGATGAGGACGAACATAGGGAGAGAGTCACTCGATTGAGGCCCTCCGCGTCGGATTCAGAGTTGTGCAGTGAACGCCGACGAGATCTCATCCGAAAACGGGATACCACGTGTGTGCCCTTCCCCTTCGATTCGAAACGAAGGGCAACGGCTCGTTGGGAAGTACACTGATACTTTTTGGATTGAATTTCTCATCGTTGTGAGAACCCGCGCGCGCTCTTTTCCTTAGATCTCGCGGCGACGGACCTTTCTCTTACTAAAGTCAGACCAACACGGGGGATTTCAGTTTCGTCTGTGTCCCCACACTTAATTTCCCCAAAAATCCTTGGCACACCCCATCTTGGCTGCTCTTCCCGAGCCTTTCCGCGAACCCAAAATACTCTGAGCGGAAAGTAGCGCAGGGCGTGAGGTTGGTAATGGAGCCGACACGTGTCGGTTCTGACATTAGTAAGGCGAGCTGGCGAGAGGAAGAGCAGCCAACCGATCTAATCGGCTGAGTCCTTTCGTCACTAGACAAAGGTCAATAGAAATTCGACCGGAAATGCCCTTGGTTGATGCCAATGGAACGGCTCCCCGGGTTATGGTGAGCATCCTCGCCACTTTCCCATTTTACCCCAATCATACTCATCCCGAAGCATGGCTCAAAGTCGTACAAGCTCAGGGATATGGCGTTGAGGATCTTCCTCGCGTCATCACCTTACTCCTCAGGAACACTGCTCATGA